TTCAGCAGGCCACGCTTAAGTTTCCAACAGATCATCATGTATCACTTTTAACAACCTGTACAGTTAACTTTTTCAAGATTATAGCTTAATCCAAACCATCAATTCAATAAATTACAAAAATAGTAATTGCTTTTAGTAAAGGACTCAGAGTAAGGCACTATCTTCCTCTTCACTTTAGACTTATCTACGTTCTTGCATTACAGTAAATATCTGTCTTTCCCCCAGCTAGCTAATTTCACATTTAAAAACTCGAAATCAATTTTTCATGTGCAACAGACTAGGAGTCCACCAAGAATGTGGAATTTTTAAAAAATCTGCTTACAGTCCAAATAATTCTCTGCTGCATAAACAACACAGAGATTGAAAACATACTCTGAAATCTATTCCAAAACACTGAAGTGTAAAACATACCCGTGTGTGCTATGAAATTGGCGTGAGTTAATACTGTGAACAGCAAGCCACGTGGGTGGTTTCAGAGGTTGGAAAGGGCTCAGACAATGAACAGGCATTGCATTTATGGTACCCAGAGACTCACTGTATTTCATTCAGTCAGCTTCAGAATGAAGCATTCTCCTGTACTAAACTAAGTGACATAGTGCAAGAGACAGAAAGGATTAGCCGCGTTATGTGCAGAGTATCATAGTGGAAGTCTACTGGGAAGTCCTATCCCATTAATATAAAAAATTTACAAAATGAAAATCAATTTGCAGCTACAGTTTTCTGTTACAAATCTCTCAGGATTTATTTTTTGTAGGTACAAAGCTTCCTGGGATGATACAATAGGGGCTCTTTCACATTAAATATATTACCAAAGAACATGTGTGCAAATATAAAGAACAAGAAAAAATTCATGGATAAAAAGAGCCAAAGAATAAAGATGTTGATTCAAAAGAGCTCCCAAATTAAGACTGAAAATCACTCAAGATCTTTATTTTTGAAGTGAGCAAATGTAAGCAAAATGAACAGAACAGGTGATGTTAAGAGATTATTTTACTGAAAAGAATAAGTGAGCAAAAGCTTCATGTAAGGCATTTGCAGCCTCAAAAACAAACAAGACAAAGGGAAGAATGGGGAGTTAACAGTAAGGCAGGATGGGTAGTTAACAGTAAGGCAGAGTTGAAGACTGTGGCATAAAAACAGCAGTGAAGATAAAAGAAAATTCCCAAATTATTCTAAAGGTATCATTTGCAGTAAAATACAGAGGGATGTGCTAGCTGGTGGCATGGAGGTTACAGCACTGGATTCTGTTTGGCTGACTACGTGGTTGTCCTGAACCGGACAGCCTGAAAGCACACCTGGGCACTCTATGCTCAAAATCCCAAGAGGAGAATGGAGAAGGGTTTGTGGCCTGCCATCCTTCCTGGGAGTAACATTTCACTTTCCTTTTCTCTCTCTCTCTGTCTCTCTCTCTCTCTGTCTCTGCCTGACAAGCATGTGCACTCTAAAGCAAACTGAAAAACAAAAATAGAGGGAAAATTCAATTACATTTTTAACTTGTAATCATACAATTAAACAAAGGACAGCATCATTATATTTTACTTAAATACCATGATTCCGATTATGTTTATGACTCAAGTTTCAGAGATTGGGGCAGGGAGTTAATTTTATTAGATAAAAATGAAACATTATTAAAAGTATAGTTCTAAATCAAAGTTTTCACAAAAAATTATAAAGAGGTAGAAAGAAATGTGTTGTGTAAGTTGGCCAATGAACAAAAGAAAGCATCATCAAAAAACCTGAGGCCACAGGTCCCTTCCAGATAAAAGTCACAGGTAAGGAATCTGATATACAGCATGATGAGTCACCGTCTGGAGAAAACACAGTATTTACATCTACAAATTACAATTCATATATACTGAATGAAGAGACATATTATAAAAGTATTTACCATGGTTTGTAATTAAATGGATGGCTCGATGATGCCCCATGTCCTGGAGAATCTGTAAAAGGTCCCCGATGGTTTTGTTTTTCTGTGCCCAGGACCAGAGTAATTCTCTTGTTCCACTTTTACCTTGGTCTACGTATTTTTCAATATGACGAACATCCAGCCAGCTGCTTGAAAGTCGCTCCGCTTTGGAATAGGGAGAATCAAAGAATAGTTTGCTTTTATTGGAATACTAGATTTGTGTATCTTACATGTTCTATTGCATTTTATTTTAAACTTATTTTAGACTATATTCCTGATGTACCTGCTGCTAATGTTAACATATTACTAACCACAGTACAATGATCAGAATCAGGGACAACCAAATTGCAGATCTAATTTAATTTCGGTAGTTTTCTACTAATGTCCCTTTTCTATTCTAAGATCCTATCCAGTCGCCCATATTGCATTTAATTGTTCCTTGTTAATCTCCTCCAATCTGTGTTGCTTCCCGGGTCTTTGTCTTTCAGGACCGTGACATGACACTGTGTTCCACTCAGTGCATAGTATCCATCAAGGGATTTATGTTATTGATGACTTCACACTAGCCATCTTTACTTTGATGGCTTGTTTAAGAGTGTCTGTAAGGTTTCTCTACTATAAATTTATTTTTCCCTTTATAATTAATAAATATGTTGAAGGAGATACTTTGGTATTATGGAAATACCCTTCTTTCCATTATATTTGCATCCTTAAGTGGTTTTTTATCACAATTACTACTGCAGTGTTTGCTTAATGGTGATTTTCTACTTTTCCTTCTGTGTTCAGTAACTGTAACTCTTTTGTAAGAAAGAGCTGTCCCTTTCCTCTCATTTATGTATTTATCAATTTTATTTCTATCAGTATAAACTTACAGATACTTAGTTCAGTCTAAAAGTTAAAATCCAATACTATAATTATTTATTTTACTGCTAAACTTGTTCTAGCTTTGTCTAGGCTGGCTCTTCTGTTCTCTACACAAGTCCTATTTTCAGTAAAAGAATGTATTTGGGTATACTGGGAGGAAGCTGTGGGCAAGACAGGGTGGGGTCTGCGCTCGAGAGGAAGAACTGTGCTGTTTCTATGGCTGGGCTGCTCTGCCCCTGTTCTGGTTGAGGTAGACTCCCAGCTTTCAAACTTCCTGGAATATGATCGGGAGTCAGCTTCTGGTAAATTTCCACTGGGACAAGGCATTGACCCCTTTTCCTCTGGAATGACTTCTTCAGCCTGAAATGTTTGTCCCACTCTTAGGTTTGTTTAGCTCTCTGTTTTTCCCTGACAGAGCAACAAAGTCAAATGACACTTTGACACTGGGCAGCAATGTCAATTCTGGCTACTTTCTGCTGAGAAGGGGAAGTGCAGGCTCCTGGTTGCCCAATCCTTTTTTTAATCACTTTTTATCTCCTGGCTTTTCAAGGTGCCCGAGGCTCACTTTGTATGCCTGGATCCCCAGCACTGGAATTAATTACTTTCTAAGGATTCCTGGTTTCTTTATTGAACAATGGTGTTCAAAAGATAAGATCTAGTGCTAGATGTGCTCATCTGGGCTGAAGTTCCATTGCTTCTAAGCCCATCAAGCAGACCCAACTACTGGGTCATCAGGAAAGTCATGACCCAGTTTTGCATGGAAAAACAGAAAAAGGCATCATGACTTTTCCAGACCTAATATAATAATAATAATAATAAATAAATAAATACACACACACACACACTAATACATGTTTTTCTATTTCTCCTTCTGTAAGTAAAAAGTCAAGAGTTTACTCTGATACCTCTAATTCCAGTCCAACACTACAGACACTGACATTTCAGTCATTTTTCGCTTTAACTTAATTCTTGAACAGTAAGAAACTCAGCTGTTACATACACAATATATTTACTTGTTTAATGCTACTATACACATAAAGTACTTTTAGAATAGCTAATGTATACTCCTGTTAGAAACACATTATCTAATTAAATTTAAGCATAGTAATTCTTTTTGTGCTCAGTCAAAATATACCTAGTTTAAATGTTGTTTTCCAAAGTTATTTAAGTTAATCCTCTTCTTTCTCACTTCTTCAATGTGGTTATTAATTATTATCATTGTGGGTAGAATCAGAGAAAGGTTTTACTATAATTCTAGGCTTTTAATTGCTTGAAAACAGAATGTATGCAACTAATTTAGGAGCTGGTATCAATATTTTAAAACTTACTGAAGGACCATGAGTTTTGAGCCAGTTCCACAGCCTAGTGGTTAAGAGAACTAGATCCCACATGGCTGATCATGTGGTTCAAATCCCAGACTCAGAGGCTTGAAAAGCATACTGGGCACCTATGCATACATGTACTAAAGTCCCCAAAGAATGAAGAAATAGAGGAAAAGGGATTGAGGTATGACCACTCCCTACTGGGAATTCTATCCCCCCCCTCACCCCCAGTCTCTCACTGTGCATGCACCCTCTGGCAATTAAAAAAAAAAAAAAGGAAAAGAGAGAGTATATAAGATTTTAAGGTGCCTCAAATTAACAGCATTCTTCAAGTGAAATTTTATATTGCTGCACGACTTCCAAATTTTAAAGTGTACTTTAAGGCAAATAAGGGAAACAGCAAATGAGAGAAAGAATGACTTTCTTGTTCCTGTGATAATACTCTCAATTTAGTTCAGTCATTTTGAACACTAAAAGCAGAAACATGTTTATTAGCTATTTGGATTCCACATGGCTGACTTCGCAGTTCAAGTCCCGGACCCAGTAGTCTGAAAAACCACACTGGGCACATATATGTGTGTGTCCAAAATCCCAAAAGGAGAATGGAGGAGAAAGGGTTATGGCATGGCCAATCCCCTTTGGGGTGAATTCTCACTTTCCTTCTCTCTGTCTCTCTCTATTGAGCAAACATGCTCTATAGCAAAACCAGAGGGAAAAAGTCTTTTTCAGAGTCCAAAGTGTGTTAATCTCTTCGGGAGGTGCTATACTTATGTTATAGTATTGAAAATCAAGACATCAGAAAGGCATAATATGCTTTGGTTTTAATATGGCATTCCATCTTCACATATTTTCGTTTCTGCCACGTTTAAAGTATTAATTTGATGCAAACCAATTTTGACATCTATGTACGGTTTTTTCATAATACGCATTTTCCATGATCTTTTTTGAACACGCCCCCTCAAGTGAATACTGACTTTAAACACTTGCCAGTTTGAAACTAATATTCTTATAAGAAAGCAGTAAATACTAAATTTTAGTAAAGGGGAACTTTAGGCTTTTACTTTTTCTATTTTTAAATAAATTGGTTAACATGTATAGAATATTATGCATATTGTAGCATAGAAATGAATAACACTGACTATTTACATAACACAATAGGTTTCTTTCCTTCTTTTTTTTTTTTTTTTTTCTCTCTCCAATAAAAGAGTTTCCTTGGGGACCAGCAGATGGCGTAATGATTATGTCACTGGACTCCCATTCAGTTGCCCACGGTTGGGGTGGAGACCTCGCAGCTTAAACTCACTCCAAGCTCTTGTGCTTGTGTGCCCAAAACCCCAAGAGGAGAACAGAGGAGAAGAAATTGCAGCATGGCCATCCCCCCAGGTGGTGATTTCTCACTTTCTGTCTCTCTGTCTTTCTCTGTCTCTCGAGTGAGCACACATGCCCTATAGCAAAAGTCCCTCTCTTGAATAAAGGAGTTTCCTCAACACTGAGTCTTTGGGATAAGACATATAATTTGCCATGGTTGAAGAGGGATGGTGTTCTTGGGGGCTACAACAGTCAGGGAAGGAACATGAGAGACATCAGCTCATCTTGCTGCACAGGTATGTTGGGATTAGGCTGAGGAACAACAAAAGGTTTGTCAGTTAGAGAACTGTCCCAGAAATTGTGAGGAGGGCAGGAAGGGGCAAAGAGAAGACCAGAATGCTTAGAGCAGAAGGTTCTTGTCAGAGAAAAAGTGAACAAACTCCATGAAGTCTTCATCTTACTTTTGTCTCTCCAGGAATATGTTTAGCATATACTAAGTGTTCAGTACCATTTTGCTGAATGACAGACAGGCCCTGAGTGTTTGCACAGAACTTAACCTTCAGGCCTAGCCATGGTAGTGAGTACTGGCTGATACTCTACTTGGCAGGCTGAGGCGACATGGGAGGCGCAGATCTGATTCCCTGCCCAACCTAAATAACCAGCTACAGTGGCAGTTACCTGTAATCCCAGGCAGGAGAATCACGACATAGCAAGACCCTGTCTAAAAACAAACAAATAAAAACTCAAACTTCATTCTGAAAGCAAGGAGGCCAAAGTAATATTTTTGAGAAGATGATGCAAAGATGGATGTTTTACTTTTTGGAAGATGCATATGAAGGCAAGAGTGGTGATGGGTTCATTGCGGTATTTATGCATAAAAGGCATCAACATGTTATAGTTCACAAGTCTTAACCATAGGAAAGGGATGTCAGCTTTCCCACATAATTACAGTCTCTGTTTCTCTTTTTCTTTCCAAATTCTGAATTTCTCCTTTAAAAGTGTTGCAGGCCTTGGCTGTGCTTGCCCACCCTGTGACTTGGCTGAGAAACTGCTAATATAAGATGCT